CTCTCCTCTCCTCTCCTCTCCTCTCCTCTCCTCAAGTTTAGTTTGTATTAGATTTTACTATTATAATCAAAATTCATATATATTTTTCTCAAACGTGGCAACCTTAAGATGTGTGGACTTCAACTCCCAGAATTCCCCAGTCCACAGCTTTATTTGGGAAAATTCATGATTACGATTTATTTATTTTGCGATGGGATTTATGCAAGAGATTTCTATCCTGACTCGCCAGTTCAAAATGAAATGTTCAAGGAAGCTAAGATGCTTGCTTTAAAAACTGAATGACAGCATCAGAACAGCCATCCATTTGCAAGAGACTACACGAACATTTCTTGAGAGGAAAAAAATCACAGAAAAGGCAGAGAAGCCATTTTAGGCTTCAAACACCATCTGACTTGCACAGCTGGTATAAAATTGGCTTCCGTTAAAAGTTCCATTGGCTGAAATGTCTGGCTCTGTGGTTAGAATTGCTTAATCCAGATGCCAAGTAACCCAGTTGCCAAATAATGATCTGAAGGCTGAACAGATTGTGGTCTCTTAGGTTTTCTTCCCTTTTTCTCTTGTTCTCTCTCACTAAGCATGGCTTGCCCTTTCTTTTCCAAGGGAAATGATAACCACACTTTCCATCATGGCCTGGATCTGAGCAAACTGTGACTAGGATGAATAAGGGTTTGCTTCTATGCAAAGAAGGCTTGAAAGAATGGGTTTTCCAGTCGGTTTGCAAACCATTGTGGAAGAAAATGTGTTTGTGGGGTCCTCTTCTGATGTTATGGGGGAGAAGGCGTAAGATAAGGGAGAAAGGCTGTGAAGTCTGTAGCACATTCCCAGTTGTGAAAATATGGTTCAGCCATCAGATCTCAATGCCTTTGATAAGAGCTTTCAAATACAGCAAGGCCAAAATTGGAGATACTAGGATGGTAAATAATTAATCATGCTGTTCAGCTAACTAACTTTGAATAAGTCACTCTGCAGTGAGATGGGCAATGGCAAATTTGAAATATAAACAAATAAAATACATAAATAAATAAAAAATAATCCCCTGAGGACCCCCCCCCCACCATTGAAACTTAAATACCTAATTTCCAGAGGGACCATCCTTTCGAGTAACAATCTATTCCCCTATTAGATGACCATATGCTTTTTAAAAAGCATTCTTCCAATTCAAGGGATTTATTTCACCAGATGTGATCATGATTACTAGCTTAGAAGAGACGTCCTCACTGCAGACTTTCAATGAGCTTGACTGTATGGAGCAGGACTATTATATCTGACCTTCAAAAATGTGACCATCCAGAGGTCATTTTCTGAAACTCTTTACTGCCCAATCTAGTGGCCCTCTGGAATTTGGCAGCCTAGACATGCTTAGTCCAAGCGCAGGGGTCCTTAGGAGCCACCACAGAAGAATGGCTGTAGCTGCTGACACTGTCTTGCCCTACAATTCTCAGTTAGGTGTTGCAGATAGCAGAAATCTAACCATCAAACAGGAGAAGGGAAGGAATATTTGGGTGCCTGGAGAGGTGATAACCCTTGTGCGGTTTGGTTCCCATGCTGTGGCACAGAAGAAGTTCCCATGTGACCTTCTTTCTTCCTTTCTTCCACCTGCTCTCAGTTC